CCCATACTGTCCTGGGGTGACACTGGGGGTCCAAGGCCCAAACTGGGAGGTCCCTGACCCAAACTGGGAGGTTCCAGTCCCACAGTATGAGGTCCCAGGCCCATCTTGGGAGGTCCCTGTCCCATTCTGGAAGGTCCCAGCTCCATCCTGGGATGTTCTAAGGTGACAACTGGGGATCCTAGGCCTATACTGGGAGGTTCTGGGGTGACAACTGGGAGTCGCAGGCCCATAATGGGAGGTCCCAGGGTGACATGGGGAGGTTTGAGACTCACACCAGGAGGTCCCAGCTCCATACTGGGGGTCCCAGGCCCATCCTGGGGTGCCCCAGTTCATCCTGGGCAGTGTCAGGCATCCCTGACTGTGGTGTGTCCCCAGGGGGGGTCCTGTACCCCTTTGGGCCGGGCGTGGGGGATGAGCCCACTCCCCATGAGGACGACGGGACGAGCCCCGAGATCTTTCTGTGGGAAAACTTCTCCTTCTTCGGGAGTGGCCACCGCTCTTGCTACGTGGGTCATGTGACTGGAGGGACACAGAGGGGACATGGAGGGTGGCATTGGGGGGGTGACACCAGGAGGGGGGGATGGCAAGTGGGATGGGGGCCACCAGAGTTGTTGGCATCTCCTTTCTTGGCCACATGGGTGAGTGGAGACCCCTGGGGACATGGGGGACACCTGCAGGACCTCCAGGTGGTTTTGGGGTCCCAGGCCCATCCTGGGAGGTTCTGGGGTGACACTGGGGGTCCCAGGTCCATCCTGGGGGGTCCCAGTCCCATACTGGAAGATCCTAGCTCCATATGGGGAGGTTCTGGGGTGACACTTGGGGTCCCAGGCCCATTCTGGGATGTTCTGGGGTCACACTCGGTTTGGGGTCACTGTGACTGGCAGTGTCATAACTGGGACCACTGGGGGGTCACTGGTGGGTGCTCCCCAGGTGTCTCACAGGTGCCATTTGCCCCCAGGTGAACAACAATGGGGTGGTGTCGTTCGGGACGAGGGTCCCTGAGTTCACTCCCCAGCCCTTCCCGCTGCCTGGCCACCGCCCCTTCGTGGCCCCGTACTGGGCTGACGTGGACACGCGGCTGGGGGGGGATGTCTGGTACCGCCAGAGCCGTGACCCTGAGCTGCTGGAGCGCCTGGCACAGGACCTGGCACCCACTGTGCCCCCAGGGGATCCCCCACCGCGCCCCACCTGGGCCCTCGTGGCCACCTGGGACCGTGTGGCCTATTTTGGGGCCGCCTCGGACAAGGTGAGACATGGGACAAGGAGGGGAGGGGGCTCAAGTGGCTTGGCCTTCAAGTGAGGTGTCCCCAGCCACAGTGGCACCAACCATAGTGTCCCCAGCCATGGTGTCCCCAACTTTCTGGGGGACACAGGACTGGGGACACAGCTGGGGGTGGCAGTGCCAGTGTGACATGGTGACAATGTCCCCCCCCAGGTGAACACTTTCCAGGCCGTGCTGGCCTCCGATGGTGTCACCTGCTTTGTCCTGCTCAACTATGGGGACTTGCAGTGGACAACAGGCATTGCCAACATGGGGGACCCCCACACTGGACTGGGGGGCATCCCTGCACAGGTGGGGACACGGGGACACCCCCAGGGACCCCCACACTGGGCTAGGGGGGTTCTGGGATGGGGGGGTAAAGAGTTCTGGGGGAGAATTAAGGGGATTTGAGGTGAAATCAGGGATTTTAGGTGGAAGTAGGGTCATTTTAGGTGAAATCGGGGATTTTAGGTGGAATTAAGGGAATTTTGGGTGGAATTAAGGGGATTTGGGGTGAAATTGTGCATTTTAACTGAAATTAGGGGGATTTTAGGTGCAATTAAGGGAATTTTGGGTGGAATGACTGGATTGGGGTGAAATAAATCTCCTTTTGGGTAAAATTGCGGGAACTGGGGCAGAACTGCCCCCCTCACCACCCACCCTGTCCTGTCCTCCCCCCTGTGTGTCCCCCCATATGCCCCCAGGCCGGGTTTAACAGCGGGGACGACGTGCACTACTATAACGTGCCAGGGTCCCGCACGCCCACTGTGCAGACCCTCAGCCACCGCAGCAACCTGGGGGTCCCGGGGCGCTGGGCCTTCCGTGTCGACCACTTTGAGGCCACTGAGGGGCCCCTCGAGATGCCCTCAAGGACCCCCGGGACTCCCTCAGTGCCCCCCCGAGTCCCGCAGGACCACGGCAGAGCGGACGTATAACTGCGGGTTGTGAGCAGGTGACACCCGGGGCTCTGGGGAGGGGGCTGTGCCCGCACACCTGGGGCACCTGAGACCCCTCCCTTCAGCGCCCCCTGGAGGCCACGTGGTGATAGGAACACCAATAAACACCTGTTGAGCAACACCTGTGTGCAGGTGTGTGTGCACACCTGTGGGGACAGAGACACGTGGGACACTTGTGCCTGTCCCCTCCTGGGTCTGTGAAGGGAACAGACCGGGGAGGAGAGGGGGGATGACAACACCTGGGTGGTACACGGGTGTGACAGACACACGCGATCTGAGGGTGGTTTGGGAGGTCCCTGAGGTGGTTTTAGAAGGGGCTGGCAGAGTCCTTTAGGATGGGGAGCTGGTTTTGGGGGGGTTTGAGGGGGGTCTCTGGGCTGGTTTAGGGGGTTTCTGGGGGGGTCCTTGGCAGGGATTCCCTGGGCTGGTTTAGGAGGGCTGGGGCTCCCTGGGATGGGGGGCTAGAGGGGTTCTTGGGCTTGTTTAGGGGGACTGGAGGGGTCCCTGGGCTGCTTCGGGGGGGCTGGAAGGGTCTCTGGTTGGTTCAGGGTGCTTGGGGGGTCCCTGGGCTGGTATTCCTGAAAAACAGGTGGCTTGACCCCCAACCATCCCAGTCACTCCCAGAGCAGCAGGATATGGTGGAGTTTGAGACCCCCCCAACCATTCCCATCACTCCCATGGCAATGGGATATGGTAGAATCAGAGACCCCTGGCACCAGGGGACCCCCCAACATCCCTAAAATTGGAGGGAAGCCCATCCTGGCACTGGGATGGGTGTTTCCATGGCAACTGGGATCCTTTTATTTCCATGAAACTCCCCAAAAAAACCAGAACTCACCATGCTGATTCCTCACTGTGAAGTGCTGGGATTCAGGATACAGGAGAGTGGGATTTAGGGGTGATTTGGCAGGAATTTCATCACCAGCCAAGTGATGCTGATTTATTAATTAGTAATTAATTAATATCCACTGTTAATTAGCAGAGTTCGGGAGGTTTCCAGTGACACCAGGTCTGTCCCAGCTACGGCTGGTGACAAGGTGGTAACAAAAGTTACTGGAAAACACTGGGATGAGGTGGAAAACCATCGGGATGAGGCAAAAAACCACTGGGATAACAGGAAAAATACCAAAATGAGGTCAAAACCTGTGGAGGAACATCAGAGTGAGTGGGAACGATTCCAAGCCTGGAGAGACTTATATGGAGCTTAGAGAAGACGATAAATTACGGACTTCTGTGTTACTTCCCAGTTCGTCCCATGTTTTATGTACCCTTACATATATTCCTCTATATTAATCCCCTTAGATTGTATTGCCCCAAACATGTCTGTAGTTGTCCACAAGTTTTCCCATCAAAAGTTGTTTACCACCTTGTTCTCCCCTGCATTCTCGCTTATCCCCCACTGATTGGCCGACAAGTGCCGCAGTGCGGAGTGAGCTCCCATTGGTCCCCACTGCTTAACTCCTCCTAAGTTCCTCCCACTTTCCCTCATTCTCCAATCCTGCAATACCCTGAGATGTCCATCCCATGCTCTGCCCTGGTTATCAGACCTCCCCTCACTCAAACCCTATATAAGTCCTTGTTCCCCCTCAATAAAGTGGACATTGCACCCTGACCTTCCACCTTGTCAGAACCCTCTGTGCAGTGTCATGTCCCTATTCCTTTCTCCATCGGGCCGTGGCAAAAACCCACTTGGATGAGATGGAAGAACACCAGGATGAGGTGGGAGAAGACCACAACGAGGTGGAAAACCACCAAAATGAGGTGGAGAAGCACCAAGATGAAGTGGAAAAACACTAGGAGAAGGAGAAAGACACTGGGGTAAGGCGGAAAAAACCACTGTGATGGGGGAAAAGCAGCAGGATAAAGCAGAAAACCACCAAAACGAGGTGGAAAAACACTGGGATGAGGCGGAAAGACAATGGGTTTAGAGGAAAAACACCAGGATAAGGCAGAAAACACCAGAATGAGGTAGAGAAACAGTGAGATGAGGCGGTAAACCACCAAAATAGGTTGAAAAACACTGCGATAAGGTGAAAAACACTGAAATGAGGTGGAATACACACAAATTCTTTGAGGAAGGAGGCACTGAGGCCACAGCACTTCTCCAGGCTGAAGGCTCCAAGCTCTTCCCCAGCTACAAGCAGAAGTAATCCAGGGCTTCGTGTCCATAGGGGTTGGAAGTCCAGACAATGTCAGCTCTTCCAAAGCTCTCCAGCATCCGGCCCAGCTCTGCACTCACTGCTCCCAAACATTCCCTGTCCAGCTGCTCCTCCAAAATCCAGCCAGGATCCAGTCCTGACTTGTAGCAATCCACAGGGATAGGATACACGACCAGGCGGAGATCTGGCAGGACCACAGTTTTCCATAATAAATCCTTGAGCCCTGTTGTGGAGAAGGAATTCCCAAAGAGTCCGAGGGAGCGGAGGCAGGAGCAGTGCCGGAGTGACACCAGCAGGGCATCCAGGTGTGAGTCTGTCAGCCGGCATTCCATGAGGTCCAGGTGGAGCAGGGAAGCCGAGGTTTCCTCCAGGAGATGCTGAAGGGGTTGGAGAAGAGTTTGGGAGAAATCATGGCCGCTCAGATCCAGCCTTTTCAGGGCCGGAGCGTGGAAGCTTTGGGAGAGGAAGGCGAAGTCAGCGGGAAGGAGGGAGCAGAAGGCCAGTTCCAAGCTTTCCAATGGAGCCTCGAGTTTGCTGCCAGGATGAAAAAGGAGATGTGACCCTGTGGTGACATCATGGAGCTGGGAGGGATGCGCCAATAGATCAAACCCTCCATGAAACCTTGAAATGTTGGAATGGCTCCCAAATTCCTGGGGGAACTGCAGCAAACAAGACCCATGATTCCCTTCATGATCATGGAATCATGGAATTAGGAAATCACTGAGGTTGGAAAAGACCTCTAAGACTATCAAATCCAACCTTTGAGAATCATGGGATTATGGGATTCCGGAGTCATGAGATCAGGGAGCCTTGGAATTGTGGAATCATAGAGTCATGGGATCATGGAACTACAAGGTCACAGAATCGTGGGGGTCATGGGATCATGGAACTGTGGGAGCCATGAGATCATGGATTCATTGCATCATGGAATCATGGGGTCATAGAATTATCAGATCATGGAGTTATGGAATTACTGGGTTATGGGATTACAGAGTTATGGAATCATGGAATCATGAGGTGATGGGATTATGGAGTCATGGAGCCAGCCAGGAGCACCTGGTGCTGGTGGAGCTCCGGGATGCAGCGCTTGCTGTCCTCTGGAAACTAGGAATCAGGGAATTCTGGGATCATGGAGTCAAGGAGGTATTCAGTTTGGAAAAGGTCTTGAAGATGGTCAAGTTCAACCTTTGAGAATCCTGGAGTCAAGGAATTATGGGATCTTGGTGTCATGAAATCATGGAATTACAGGATAACGGAATCATGGGAGCATGGAGTCACGGAGTATTGGGATAGCAAAATCACAGAATCATGGGGTCACTAAGGTTGGAAAAGATATCTAATACCACCAAGTCTAACCTTTGCAAATCCTCAGTGAGTGCAGGAAGAATGCAGCTGGGAATCTGTTCCAGCAGGAACTTACCAGAGAATGTGCCTCAAATTCCCAGAGAGCCTGGAGGATCCCAGGTTGAGCTCCCTGAGGCTCTGCAGCTTTCCCAGCTCCCTGGCCAGACACTGGATTCCCAGCACCAACTCCGGCGTCGGCCGCCGCACGTCGACATTGCTGTAGGGAAGTCGGAGGCTTCGGAGACCCAGGAATCGGGAGAGATGTGGCAAAACCAAGGAGAGACCCCCCAGTCCAAGGTTGTTGAAGCGAAGGTCCACCCTCCTTACGCCAGAGGGATCCAAGGATTTCAGCAAACTCACAATTCCAGCCAGGCAGAGCTCCTCGGCTTGGAACTCCCGGCACTTGAGGCGCAGTGGGCTGCTGTTCCCGGCCTGGAGTGCATCCCACAGGATCCCATAGGATGTTCCATTGACAAAGAGATCAGCGTGGATGTCAATGAATCGTGGAGCTGCCGTGGTGCCGGAACGGCCCTTGTGGCTCCTGGATCTGCATTTCTGGAGTTCCCGCTGGTGTTTGGAGACCTCCACACAAGCCTTGGCCAGGGCCACGGTGCCAGACCAGACACTCATCCCTTCCGGAGCACGGCCAGCAGCATCATCCCGGAGTCCCGTCACATCCAGCACACGGAGACGGCACCGGCTGGGCCAGGAAATGGGAAAAACAGGAATAAACAAGCAGGGAAAAACCACAGAAGTGGGTTCTGTGTATTCTGGAATTCCCAAGATTCACCTGGAATCATGGCCTGCTTCCTCCAGATCCTGCCGGAGCTGGTCCACCACGGCCAGGATGACAGACTGGATGCAGAGCTTGGAGGGATGATCCCGGAGCAGCTCCCGGCGCCCCACGATCCCCTGGAAGTTGAGGACTGGGAATGGCCACTGGGCCACCAAATCCTGCAGGACTAGGGGTCTCCCATCCAGGAATGCAGCTTGGAAGAGGACGGGATAGAGCTGGGCGGGGACAGTAGGAAGGGGGCGGTGGGCGACGAGCCGGCGGGCGGAGAGGAAGAGCAGGGAATCCATGAATCCAAGGGGGGCTTCAGGATTTGAGGAGGGCACAGATGAGGTTGGGGGACCCCCAGGATGGCCCTGGGGCGAGGAGTGGGTTGGGAGAATCCCAGGGAAGCCCCAAATCCAGGGATATCCCAGCAAAAAGGGAACTTGTGGAGGAGAGGAGGAGGCAAAGGGGATGTTGGGGTGAGACTCCCCAAGGCAGCCCCCCCCCAAAAACAGGCGTCCCAAAGCTGCCAAAAACCCCCAAACCACTCCAAGTAATCCCCCCAGTCCACCCCAACCAGTCCAGGGACTCCTCCTCTCCAGCCCCTCCACCCCAGGGACCCCCCAAACCACGCCAAGGACCCCTCCCTCAGCACCCACATAAAAGCCCTCCCACTCCAGGACCTCACCAAGGGCCCCAAAACCAATCCAGGGATGCCCCCTCAGCCCCCCAAACCAGCTGAGGCACCCCCTCAGCCCCCCTAAATCAACCCAGGGCCCCTCCCAAATCCCCCCACCCCACGGACCCCCCAAACCACACCAGGGACTCCCCAGAGACTCCTCAACATCCCCCAGGCACCCCCCGAGTCTCCCCCAAACACCCGCATGGACCCTCCCATCCCAGGGAGCCCCCAGAGAACCCCCCAACATCCCCAAAGCAGCCCTGAGACGCCTCCCCAGCACCCCCCAGACCCACCCAGTGACTCCCCCAGCACCCCCAAAGAAAGCTCAGGGACTCCCCAGCATCCTAAAACCACCCACTCCAGGGACCCCCAACCACCCCAGAGATTCTTCTAGCCCAACGAAAACAGCCTAGGGACCTTTCCAGCCCCGATACCCCAGGGAAGCCCCAGGGACACACTAAACAAGCCCAGGGAGCCCTCCCAGCCCCTCTGAAGTACTCCAGAGACCCACCCCCCAAGGCAGCCCCTGCTCTTCCCACCCCCCTCCCCAAGGCGCCCCACACACACCGCACGCCCGCGGCCCCGGCAGCTCCAGCCCGTGCGGCGGCCCCACTTCCGGGTCTGCGCGCTGCCACCACCACTCAGAGAGCGAGACCCACCCCGGGGGCGGGTCTTCGCCTTTCAACTGGCTCCTATTGCTGTCCGTCATCGTTCTTCTCACTTCCCATCTGTAGGAGAGCGGTGTGGGCGACCCTTTTGCCATAGACGCCCTTCCATTGGCTTACTTCGCTGTCCATCACCAATCCCTCCCTTCCCATTGGCTGCAGCGCGACGCGATGTTCGCTCTGAGCCAGGACCGGGGTCCTCTCGGAGCCCCCCGAGACCCCCAGGACCTCCCAAACTCCTCCCGGGTCCCTCTGGATCACGAACCCGCTGCCATGGAGCGGCAGCGGGAGGTGAAGGCGCTGCTGCTTTAGGGAGGCTGGGGGTGGGTGTCCCTGGGGTCATTTGAGGGGCCTGGGGCGGACCCTAAAAAACCCACAAAAATGCCCCCCAAATCCCTTCCCTCTACCATTCCACAGAGGCCCCCCAGCGACATAGCCCCAAAAGGGGGGAAAGGGGGGCGGTACCCCCCAGAGTGAGGAAGGGGACTGGGACCCCCGAAATCAAGCGGAGAAGGTGCTGAAGATGGGGGGCGACCATGAGAAAAGAGAAGAAGAGGGGGAGGGAGGGGTAAAAGGGAAGTGGGTCCCCCCAGCTCAGTGCGGGGACGCTGAGGACTGGGGGACAGTGGGTGTATGAGAAATAAAATACGGTGTTATTATAAAACCAAATTATAGGCGCATTGTGAAGTTGTAAGGTATCCAGTTCCAAACTGGAGTAGGTACTAGGTTTTTTTTTTTGCAGACAGGATAAAGGAAATATGAAGTTCCTAAAAATTAAAATCTTTCGGGCCTATGTGGAAAATTTTGTACATGGGTTTCTTTCCTCTCTTTGGGCTAAGAACAAAGGAAGATCCATCATTTTTGACAGAGGATGCCTCGCAGCCAATCAGAAGGAAAGAAAAGTCCCTCTTCGGAGAAAAGAAACCTTTTTAGGCAAAAATGAATATATTAAACTTATCTGAAAAAGGGTGGGATTTTGTGAAACTATAAAATGTATAAAATTTAAAGCCAAGGGGTCTTTTTCTCCCCGGGTGCTCGGCATTAGATGAGACCCAGCACGTGCTGAATAAACCTTTCCTTGCTGTTAAAGTTCCTTTGTTTCACAGTTAATTGAATCTTTCTAAATTAAATAATGAGAAATTTCTCACAGATGCGGGACGGGGAAGAAGGGGGAATTCTGAACTCCCAGACTGAGCGGGAAGGGGCTGAAACCCTGAAACTGAGCAGGGTGGGGGAGGGAGGACACCCCAAAACAAGCTGGGGATTGTGGGGATAATTGGAAAGAGGTGGGAGAGGGAGGAAAAGGAGTGGGACAGCTGACAGGGGCATCCCATGGGGATCCTGTAGTCGGATGCTCTGCCTGGAATGGGGTGAATGAATTCCAACAAGACCCTGTTTGCAAAGCCCCCAGTGGGAAATGAAGAGGGGGGGTTACACTGCTTTTGGGGTTGAACAAAGCTGAAACCAGCCTGACTCATCAATCCCAAAGGGAAACATCCTGAAAGGGAGGGGAAGATGTGGCAGAGCTGGGAAAATCCCTGGAGAAAGGAACAAACGACACCACTGAGAACTTCTCCAAAGCTGCTGAGCTGGCACAGCCTGGACTGACAGCCCAGCACCTTATACTAGGAGCCCCCCCTGCAGTCCCCCTTCCCCCCAGAACCTGGCCATAGCAACCCAATACACCAGGTTAAGTACAGCTGGCCTGTCCACCTTGGTCAAGATGGTCTGTGACATGTCATGTAAAATTCCTTTACTGTCTGTACCTACAATCCATCCCTGATGTCCTGTGGAACTTTATTGGTGACTGAGATGATACAACACCACGTGCTTGAGCAGCAAACATCTGTCAAATGTCTGCAGGAGGAAAGAGTGCCCTGGAAGCAGGGCCCGGGAAGTCTTCTCCTGCCTCGAACTGGAGGCACCCAGGGCCCTCAAAAGCTCAGAATTGCCATAGTACCACTTCCCACGTGCTCCAAGGGGAAAAGCCATAAACACAATGCCTGTGGCATTCGTTAGTTCCTGAATTTGTTCTTGAGGATGTTCATACTTCATCACCTTTTCCGTCGTGGCCTCTTTGAGGATGTTTTGGTGTATTCATGTCTCACAGTGACATCCCCTCCATGGCCAAGGCCGAGCCCATCAGACATGGCACTGACACCTTGGGGATAAGGTACTATTGAAGGTATTGAAGGTCTTTAAGAAGGAAAAAGTTCTTGAGCAGCTGTCCAAAGAAGAGCAGAGGGAGAATATGTGAGGGAAACAGCTCTGCAGACCAGGATTTACATAATTTCTATGGAATTATGAGAGGAATTTTGTACCTTGACAAAGCCACTCTGTGATGTTATCTGAGCAGCAGATTATGGATGTTGTTGGATGCCTCAAATAGCATCCTTCTTTGGCTCAGCTCAAATGGCACAAGCAGTTCCTGACCAAAACAGCCAAGCCTAAGGAGCTTATTCCTGTCAGAGACTCTGAAGTCAGGCAAAAATTCACCAGATGTGCAGGGCACAGTATGTTCAGGCCAACATCCTGCCAAATCCAACTCCCATCTCCAACTGGTCTCAGTCCTGGCAGCAGAGTCCTCCTCTGCCCAGAGCACCCCAGGCTGGTGGCAAATGGAACACCCAGCAGGGCCTGACTGGAATGATTGTGCCCTTGCTTTGCTTCCAGGGCTGACAGATAGGCTGGACACGGAATTGACTCTTCTGTACATACATTTTATATGTTATTGTTTTGTTGTCCTCCTGTTGTAAATATATTTCATACATTATTGTTGTTATATAGGCCCTGATAATGTAAATACATTTTATACACTCTTGTGTATAAAGATTCTTATAACGTAAATACATTCTGTAGTTCATTAGTTTTGCTGCTTTTCTGTAAATAAATAGTCTTTGTTTTTCACACCCCAGCTCTCCTTCCATTTGCTTTGGGCACATGTAGCATTTGCAGAGTTGTGCTTTCTACTTGCTCTGGGTTCCTGGGGCTGGAGGTGTCTGGGGGTGCTGGCACAGCCCCCCAGGGGTGGGGGAGAATCTGTGCACAGAGGGGTCCCACTTGGGAAGGTCCCGGCACTGGGCAATGCTGGTGTCCCTGGGCTGGGGCAGAGCAGTGTCCCCAAGAGCAAAGCTGTCCCCAGCAGACAGGGGAGTCTGACATGAGCAGCCCCTGCAGTGCTGCCCCCAAAGCAGACAGGAAACCTCCTCCTCCCCTTCCTGCTGGAGCCAAAGGGACTCCTGGGATGACAGCTGGGATCAGGCCGCAGATATGCAAAATCCCAATTGATGCCATGGAGGCCATGAGAGCCTTGGGAATTGCTGGAATCAGGATGTGGGGAGAAGGTTTTGGAGCTGGAGGGGCTGATGTTTAAGCCTTTAAAGCTCCAAGCACTCCGGGCTTTGCTTCCTATCCCCATGGCATTACCCTGGGCCGTTGAAGAGCCCTAAGCCAAGTGAATGGTCCTTACCCTGCCTGGATTCCAGCAGCTGGCAGCAGGCACTGGCCCATGTCCTCCACACGTTGAGGGGGCAGCTCAGGCTGCGGTGGGGAGGGCCCAGGGGGCTTTGATGTGAGGGTGCTGGTACCAGGGTGCCAAGGTCCCCATGGGTGCAGGTACCTCGAGGTGAGTGCAGGATGTGGGAGCCGTGGGTGCTGCAGAGAGTCCCGGGGAATGTGATGCTGAGAGGTGCAGGGGTGTGGGATCAACGGCAGATCAATCAACATATTTACTCCCTGTTGGTCCAAAGCCAAGGAATGCAGACAAGGTGCTTCCCTGCACTTTCCCCTGCTCAGGCTCCATAGCCTTTCCCCCATCCCGCTGCCCTGCAGATCTGTTGATGCCACACCCAGGGCCCTGCACCTCCCACTGCTCCAGCACCACAACCCTCTTTCTCTCAGGCCTTCACTCTACCCCCACCTTGTTACTTTACCCAGATCTCCCACAAGGAGTTTGGAGCTTCATTGATAAGTTTTTATGAAATACTCTGTGCCCCACCTCCAGTTAGACACTCATTAATCCCTTTCCTGCTCCTTGGTCCACAGCAAAGCTCCCACTGGTGCAGTTCCAAGGACTGCACAAGGACGAAATCAGCAGGAAGTGAGCCCTGGAGAGCAGAGGCTTTGACACCTGCTGGTATTTCCAGCCAAGAGCTGGTGAGAGGCTTTGGGAGAGTGGGGAGCAGGTGAAGGTGGATGCTGAGTCTGGGCAGGAGGACACTTGAAAGGACCTTGTGAGAGAGCTGTGTAAAAGAGCACAGAGTTGTCTCTGAGCCAAGGGAGAAGCTGCCCTGTTCCACACCAAGACAGGCCCTCTCACAATCCCAGAAAGCACTGAGCGTATTAACTTTATCCTTGAGGAGGTGACAAAGGAAAAAGCAAAGGACTTCTGCACACCTCTATCTTTCCCTGCCCTGCTCCTACACTCCCACCACCATACTATGCCTGCTGGAGAGCCTGGAGATGCCCCATGAGCTGCCTTGAGGGAAACACCAGGATCTGGCAGCAGTTTGTTCTGCTTCCCCTTCCCAAAACTAAACCAGCTCCTTCCTTTCCCATCCCATGAAAAAATCAAGTTTAAAATCTCTGTTGACAGGAGGAAAAGTACCAGCAAAACCTCAGTTCTGGACATGACGAAAGCAGACTTCAGGTTGCTCAGGGAATTAGGAAGGAAAGTCTCCTGGGAAAATGGTTTTGCAGGTGCTGGGGGCCATCAGTGCTGGTCGCTTTTCAAACATTATCTCCTGAAGGCACTGGAGCAGCAATTCCCAAACGTCAGAAGTCAAGCAGGTGAGACAGAAGGCGGCTTGGCTGAGCAGGGATCTTCTCTTGGAGATAAGGCAAAAAAGGAAGGTGTGTGCCCAGTGGAAGCAAAGTCAAGTGACATGGGAAGAAGTCAGAGATGCTGCTTGTCACTGTAGGGAGAAAGTTTGTGTGGCCAAAGCTCAACTGGAGCTGATAGCTGCCAGAAAAGTAGGGGACAATAGAAGAGTTTTTTCAAATACGTTAATGGCAATAGGCAGCATAGAAATATCATCGGCCCATTCCAGGATGGGGATGGTCACCTCCCAAATAGGGACACAGACAAGGGAGATGTGTTTAACACTTTATTTGCCTCTGTCTTCAATAGGGATGATGGACCAAGGAGGTTTCAGTGCCCTGAGCTGCAGGGCCATGATTAGTGAGAATGATCAACTCCCAGTCGACCCTGAACTTGTGCAGGATCTGCTGCTCCAGCTGGATCCCTACAAATCTCTTGGGCCTGATGGGATTCATCTGAGAGTCCTCAAAGAGCTGCTGATGTCATCACAAAACCTCTCTCGATGATTTTTGAGTGGTCTTGGGAATCCAGGGAGGTCCCAGCTGATTGGAAGATGGTGAAAATTGTCCCGATTTTCAAGAAGGGCAAGAAGGAGGACCCTGGAAATTACAACCCTGTCAGTCTCACTTCAGTGCCTTGTAAAGTTATGGAGAAGATTATTCTGGAAGGTGTTGAAAAACACTTGAAAGACAA